GATTGCATCATGATTAGTACCTGCTTCCTATAGTGCACTTGGGAACTACTGTAATACTACCACAATGGTGCTGAGATATTTGCAAAACACCGAACCGCAGGTGTATGCTGTGGAGAAAGCTCTACTACCCTTTGCGAGGGCTTACGCGTTCGCCACCACACTATGCGGATACTTCGCTTCGCCTCTCTCTCAGCTAGTTCTACCGATTAGTGCTGTCAGCAATCGCCAGTCAAGGGATATTGTAATACTATTTAAATCATTTAAATCAGATTATATCAATAGTCATAGATGCTAGAAAACTTTTTACAATGGAACTGCAATGAATTGTGGCTTAACAGACGATGCTCATTAGTTTCAACACATCTTAATTCCGATGGAGATCGAGTAGCACAAAGGTAGTTGTCCTGCTTGCTCGACGCTGCTCGGGGCTGACCAAGTCCTTCACCTCTCCGAGATCAGAAAATTGCTGGCAGACCAATTTGAGACATGCTAACTCTCAACAATCTTCGCAGAACTTCCTAGTATTCCTCGGAATCTTCGGGATTCCAGGTAGCTTCAATTCGATCAGCGACCGATGTTCGCGACGAAGGCGAAGAAATCCTCAAGCATCACTCGACGGTCCACGCAGAAAAATTCGAAGCCGGTCATGGATGGTGGATAGAAAGAAACGAATCGAATTAAAAAAGTGCCGAGAGGAGCACAGTGTAATACATGTGATGTCGGAAATTGTAATTAATAATAATAGCAATAATAATAAGAATAATAATGATAATTACAATGATGCTTAGATATTTGTAGCATTCCAGTTCGTAGGTTTTTGTGGTGGGGATCAAACTCTCTATTACCCTTTTTGGGGGCTAGCTAGTTCACCACTACACTATTCACGTCCGTCATTTTGCCCTTCTGTCACCTCTCTTTTAATAGTTATATTTCACATCGCACCCTGCTATGAAAAAGAATAGGCAGTAAATAAAAAATGACTAAATAATAATGATTCTAATAATAAAAACTTAATAAACAGCAATAATAGTTAAGAACAATTATAATTAATTTCAGAAACAGCATTAAAGAGGAAGATTAGTGCAGAGAATAGGGACGCAGTCCATCAGCAACTAAGATGCTGGTTTGTCTCCCTACCCAACACTATTCTTCACTCCACATGGGAATGGCCTAGCTCGGCTATCTCCAAGAATGCAAGAAGAATCGACTCGAATACCATTCTAGCCATTTAAGCAAAAAAAAATACTAAATAATAGTCGTCTCAGTTCCGATTGGTTATTCGATCACATACAGTGTTTCTGTATGATTTCTTGCATTCAATCGATAGCTTTCCACCATATATGTTGGCTATAAAATAAATTACTGCTTACACTTCATGGGGCCCAAGTAAACTGTTTCGGACGAGTTTCCTTATCCCGCTACAGAATTAGTTGGTGTAATGGAAATAGTGAGGTTATTTTGCTGTGATTCACTGCCTTTTGCATAGACTGAATAGAAGAAGGACTTTTGCTAATGAGGAGTACACTTGATGTCCCTTCCTCTGACCGAAAAGTGCAAAACAGCAGATTGTGCGAATTGAAATCAATACGCATAGAAGAAGATCAGGCGTTGTCTTGCAGCACTGTATTTGAGACGGCTCGTTTTCATTAATAATTTAGGCCTTCGAATCTCAATACACACGCACACCTTGAGTTTTCGTTGACAACGTTCCCGTTTGTCCTTGATTAGGTGGTTTGTCAACGTAGTTGCCCAAAGACACTCTACCGGAACGGGAACATTGAAGCACATGTGGCTGGTTTTATGGTGCAAAATTACTTTTAACTCCGGATTCCAGAATGGAATTTAAAACATCGCTGTAGAGTTTTATAAAATCCAGATTATATTGAATTTTTCAAAACTAACTGATCGTTTTTAACGAATTTATTAAAAATGTCATAGCTTGGTTCAAACAGAGCATTATTTATCAAAATAGGAATAAGTTTCATTCCACTCATTTGCGCCAATAAGGTACAAATTTGCTTATTCAAGCTGCATGAAATTCTGGAGCTCAGGAAGCGGTGAATTCGTTGAAAGCAATTTTCGCGTCATAGTGGTTGGTGCAGCATTTGTCGCGCATGAAGTTGTCAAGGTGCTTGAAGAAGTGATAGCCGGTAGATGTGCAGTCTGGCGAATATGGAAGTACTATGGAGTCTGATCCCAATCCCACCACTGAGCTCAACGTTGTGTCTTCGTAGCAAACTTTTAGTTGCACGCCTGAGAGCACTATACATTTCGCATGAGGCTCCTTCTCTTATCGAGACAACGTCTCAAATATAGTTTGCCAGATCCGCAAAATGAACGTACTTTTTTTGAAGGTAACCTCGAAAGCTTTCATAAACTTCTTTTTCACCTGTGCTTGAACTCGAGCTCCCGACCAAATCGTTGCGCAGAATACAATCTGCAGATATGCAGCTATTGGAAAACAACCATTTATGGAATTTATTACGTTTTGTGGACGATGTAATATGTCGGTAACATTGGAAAAGTGAATATTGTTCCACGAAGCGGAGTTCGCCTCATCGCCATAGGATTTGCTCTAAGTTCGATCTCCATGATGTATGAGTGTTCATGAATCCAAATCATGTGCGCAATCATTCTTCATACAAACGGTAGTCAGTAAAAGAGGAAAAAACTGGATGTTTGACGAAATTCCTTTTGTGAATTCCAATGCCGTAACTTGATTTGGTGCATCTTCTAGTAGCAAACGCGCTCATGGAAAGTAGAAAGTGAGCATTTATCATTTCCCAAGTGAAAGGTTATCATTAATTCTTATATGGTGAACATAAGGAGAGCAAATAGAGATGAATAATTTTACATTCCCAAGAAAAAATTTTATCATTTCATCATTTAATTTCAAGTGTGTGAGTTTTCCTTTCCAAAAATAACCTGCAAAATTGCCGCATAGTTGCACAGTGAATGTTTACATTTTCCAAGATCGACCTTCTATTAACCTCGGCAATGGATTATAAATGTGTCGTTCTCTTTTTCATCATTCGCGAGGTTCGATGTTTTTCTTCAATAAGCAGACACGAGGTTGTCATTATAGAATTCATTAGAACACAACAGCTGACGTTTTGGCGGTTTCGCCTTCTTTAGAGCCTCGAAAGGTCCAATTGAGAAGCAATCTACTCAGCCAAACACTTTCATAACCCTAGCAGACAAAAGCTAACAAATAAATTTACATTCACATAGAAAACGGCTTTATTTAAACACCAACCGTTCAGCTGTTGTAAGTATTTAAGTTGGTGGAAAGCAGCCGCACAGAGTAATACATGGGCAAGCACTATGCCTGTGTTAGGCCCATTGGATTAGCCTGTGGTATGGCGCCAGGTCATGCGTGATGACAGGGCACTCCTCATTCCGGATCATTTCTGAATTTTTAGAAATGATCCAAAACGCTTCAAGTGTTTTACGCGCTTATGTTTTGGCTTCGTGCGTGAGGATACTGACCCCTGTTTCAAAAACTCCGTTGTGTTCCTGCATCCTATGTGCTCCTGATGGAGTGTATGGTTTTAATTTAGATTTACTGACCAGGTGCTCTTTTATGCAGACGCAGAGCGGTCTACCCGTTTCGCCTACGTATTCGTCCTCGTACGCTTTACAAGAGATCAGATAGACTGTGCCTGAACTCATGCAATCACCGTCTCTACCGTTATGGCAAATCATGCAGTTTTTCGTTGCACACTGACGTTCGTGTAAGCGGTTACTAACTAGTTGGTGTCTCAGAGAGTCCGATGGCATTTCTATCACTTTTACGGAATTCTCTAGACCGGGCCCTTATTAAGCAACGTTTTATAGCAACACTTACTTCGTTTGAAATAAAGGGCAATAGAGGCGGAGCCTTGTTTCCTCTAGAATTATCGCTCTGGGGCCTGGTTTTTCCTCTATACCTTTGTCGAGAAGATACAGTTTCGTAACGATTTGAAATAGTTGACGCCCCAGTTTCGAGGATTCTTCCCTCTGATCTCTACCTGTGCACACGCTGGTGGCGGTTCGAAACATATTTCTTATAAGCGCTCTTTTACTGTGTGAGGGATGAGAGGAGAGGTAATGAACACTATATTCTTACTGCTTGGCTTTCGATACCATTTTGTGATCACTGTGGTGTGATTTCACCCACCGTCTTCTGTTAGGGATTATGTCGTCTATCTCTGCATGTTTCGCACTACTGGATGACTTAAATTTTCAACGGCTACTTTTTCCCGAGATACGAATTTACATGGAAGTGACGCCTTTTCAACAAATGTCCAAAGGATCAGTTTTTATTTTGATTTCAGTTCCTCATTTTTGTTGGCTGTCTTTGATACGGCGTTGAACCCTTTATCAGAAAACTTATAAAAGAACCTTCTGCTGAAAAAAGAATTCTTTCTGAATTTGAGGCTTCCAACCCAAGATTCAATGAATCACCCAAGTGGAGCGCTTGTTCTTTCCTGAAGGATTGCTCTAACCTTGTGTTCTTTTATACTCCATTATAGAACGAAACGTGCTCGTTTTAGGAGTGCAAATAGCTAGCATGAACTCCGACTTAAATTCGTTTTTCACCAAAGACGCATAGAATTGAAAAAGACATCACAGTGCGTGTGGGGGTGGTTAGAGGTGCCCTGCAATGCAGAAATGGTTGGTCATTTGTTCGATCCCTCTCCCAGATGCAGGCAAGCCGTTGTTCACTCCCGGCTTAGGAGATTGTTGCAGACGAGCCATTTAAGTAACTAACACCATGTAAAAAGTGTTGTGATTATGACAATCGGATCTAGAACCACCTTTCTATTTTTCTCGGCTTTAGTAGTATTCCAAGAGATGTAAAACTTTGATTGAAGAACTGGTGCATTTTTCACATCAGTTCTAGGTTCTTCTTTGTTTTAAAAGTCAGACGAGCAAAAAAACTCATTCAGCCTCCTCCTACAGTACATCGTTGCCTGCATTCTTCTTCTTGGGTGATTACAAAGCCTCTCTCCTTTTGCATGACTGAATCTGTGCTTGGCAAGGAGAAGGTAGGGATCGGATATAGCACGGGAAAACAAGACAGTGGAAGTGTAAATTGTCTATTTTATGCCTTCAACGACATAGTCGACATCTGCATTGTACTTCACGCTTTGCCAAAAGGCGTTCTTCAAATTCGTCTGCGATTTATCTTCTTCCAAAAAGGAGTGGAATCAGAAGCAAGAAAGAACGTTGACCGAAGAATAGCGGTTTCTTCTCTTGATTCAGTTTACTGCTTTAAGTGTGAGATCCTGTATTCAGTTTTAGTTGCTTCACTGAGGACTTCGACAAGGAATATCAACAATTTCCTTACGGATCAGTTGATTGTAGATTGGGTGTTGCGTGTTCCGCCACACTGGTTAAGTGGCCGACATCTGCTACACGTACTGTTTATGGAGGTGATGGGTGAAGAATGGCAGGATTATCGTTGTGTTGATGCAATTGGCAATCCATACAGCCCCAGAGGTCCTCCAGCAGCGACTTTTCATATTGCTGTCCTCTCTGCTCGTATGACCGCCCACATTCCCTTAGTCTCATTTACATATTTTGATCTCGTTCTCTTGCCTCCTATTGAAGATCACCTAAAATTGTTGTTGAGTGCTTGTTCAGAAAAGCATTAACAACGATATTTATTGAAGTGTAGCTTTACTGCAGATGCTCACAGTAGAAGTATCAGTGGCGTGAAAGCTCTCATTGTTATTCGATTCGATTTGATCGCTTTTAGCCGACAGTCTGACAGCTCAACGCGGAAGGCAAGCGAGATATAACGATAATTTCAAATTCTACAACCATGCGGTCATCGACGGAAAAAGGTTTAATAGGGAAACGCCACATCGCCAGAATTACTTATGATCCTTCGCAAAAACGATGTACAGTAGAGAGAAAGTAATATGAGAAATATTGTTCAATTTTGGATAGCGCATATAGAATGATCCGTCTTTGGTTGGATCCAGAAACTGTGGTCACGAAAATTTTAGTAACGCTTAACCGAACCAATATCTGCAAATGACTCAGCTGTGCTTTGGTATCAAATTTGGGCGCGGTCAACGAGAGCTCCAAAACTAAGCAAGAGGAAATATGTTTTAAACGACCCGACTTTCACATCTACTGGGCAGATTGCAGCACGTCTTAAGTTCGCTTTATTTCCTCAGACCCATCCTTCACGAAAGTTCTTCCAATTTTTACTTTGGGCTTTTGCTGCTGTCTGAGAAATTCCATTTCGTCTTAAAAGTTGTAGAGTGCTGGTCGAGTTGATGTAATCGGTTTGGAAACGGTCAGTAACATAACGGGGAACGCTCGGATCTATCCGGCTTTGAAAAAGACGAAGTCACCGGAAGGTTAGCCAATTAAAACCTGTTACCAACCTCGTTTTTACTTAACAATCTAAAACACTACGCTAGAGGTAGCTCTCTACTTTCGTAAATAGCATAAACGAGACTGTTATTACATTTTACTTAGTCACAACTACACGCACTCCAATGAATTTCGCCTGCTTCAGAGCATTGGAAGGGCACGTGAACCGAAACCTAAACAGGCAAACACCGCTATAACCTTAACAAGGAAATCATTATACCTAAATTATAGTTGAATTAGGTATAAAACAGGTTTTCCACACTACCACCTTTCCCAACCAGTCTTCCGCTAGGTGTTCCACGTGAGGACCAACCGTCCAGGGCTCACATGAATAGGTAATGGGTCAATCTCACTTTAACACAATAGTCTTGGATGTTGTATGCGATTTTGCGTGATAATGA